AAGGATCTAGAACCAACATTTTAGGAAGGTCCAACATGTTTTTGAAGAAGGGAAAAGAACTTGGAAATTTTTCAAGTAACCTTTAAAAGCCTTTCTGGGGGGCGAGACTACATGTATATTTTAGAGCTTTTTCACACACTTTTCGCAGGATGGGAGGTGAAATAGACCAACAAATTTGCCCTTATTTAAAAATGGGGATCCTTTTTATTGGGAGAGGGCAAGGAACAATGCCAAATAATCCCGAGTGAACTCTGAAACGTGTCCACTTTTTCTTTTCTAAAACAAAAAACGCCTAAAACTAAAAAAATTCAGTTGACAAATGCACATGATCTGTTGGGATTGTTTACTTCCTACTTACTGAATGTAAACACTTTCAAATTGCCTGCATCAATTAAGAACAAACTGTGTCCTCACTTCTTTAAAATATGATAAACTTTAAAAAACAAGTCTGTGGTGTTACCTAGACAACCTCTTGAAAAACAACAAGGAGGCCATAAACAGAGTATAATATTGCAGGCAAACATTTCAATAAATACACCTGTCTTTCAGAACCGACTCAACACTTCCATCATCTAGATCTTTTTGCTGTTTTGATCAGGCCGTTTTCCTGTTGGTATTGCAGAGTAAGGGCTTCCTGGACGGCAGGCCTGCAGGGCTGGTAGTGGCTGTATTCCATCGTGTATTCACCTTTGCCCTGGGTGGCCGATCGGAGCTCTGTAGCATACCCGAACATGTCGTTGAGTGGGACCTGCATTGAGGAACGTGGGGGAAAATACTTTCAGGTGACGTTCACTGGCGATTTAATTAAAGGTTTAAACCTATGCAGGTAATTGATGAATATTCATTGTGTTTAACTTCCCGAGATCTTTATTCAGAATTTTTTCATGAAAAAGGCAGCTGGAAAATGGCTTGCATGATCGAAAAGTGTTCATCATAGGATTAATGATGTCCTGTCCTAGTGACGTCAGCAAAATTGTTATCCAAGCCTCAAGGAATGTTTTAAGAAGAAATCTTTGGATCAATAAGAAGATTTTGCTTTTAAGGTTCTCTTTGTGATCAGAGATTTGAGGGTAATAACTGGCAAACCGTAGCACAAAGTGAAATGCAGTGATGCGTCATGGTGTCACAGTCAACTTCTTCGTCTGAAAAACCGCCAAGGAGGTAATCAGTCCTCAGCTAGTACTGAAGACCTATAATCCTCTTTAACTGGCACCCAGGCTCACCTCGCAGCTGATTGAGAAGTAACCCTCCCCACCGTCGGAGCCTGAGATCACCCCGTTCCGCTTGTTGATCCCGGCGATGACTGTGCCGTGGAACTCCGAGGGGGCTGTGACCTCAACTGTCATGATGGGTTCCAGAATGTGACAGTGTGCCTCACTCATTGCTGAGAATGACGACAAAGAGAAACAAAGTTGACAGAAACAGATTCTGGGATGTGAAAAAGTACTGACCTTTTGTGTAAGTATTGCCCAAATTTGAAATCATCAATCAATCGATCAATGATCCATCCATCGATCAATCGATCAATGATCCATCGATCGATCCATCGATCGATCCATCGATCGATCCATCGATCGATCCATCGATCGATCCATCGATCGATCCATCGATCGATCAATCAATCAATCAATCAATCAATCAATCAATCAATCAATCAATCAATCAATCAATCAATCGTTTTTTTTGGTTAATTTGTCATTTCTGATTAACTTTCCCTAGATGGGTTACCCCATTTAAAGATGGTTCTACATGAATGAATAAGAGACATCCAACCCACCTTGTCTGATTGCTCCAAGACCAGCTAATCTGAAAGCCAGTTCACTGGAGTCTACCATGTGATGTTGGCCGTCCTGGAGACGCATGCGGATGCCGGTTATCTTCTGGCCTAGCTGAGGGCCCTTCTCTGCCCCCTCTAGGAAACCCTAGAGTGAAACAGGTCAAGAAAAACTTGAAAAATCACGTAGGAGGAGACGCTCTGATCGGAAGAGGTAAGCAAATTCAAAATGGATTCATTTCATCACAAGAGAAGAGGACTGATTTTTCAGGGCAGCACTGAAAGAAATTCTTTTTACCAATGACAGAATTAGATAGCAAAATAAATACTGACTATTGAGGTTATAACAAACTGGAAACATGCATATAGCGTGCCCAGTGGTCCAGAAAAGTGCAAATCATTTAACCAATCGACTATAATGTTGAGTTTTATTAATTTGTAAATTCCAACACGGGGGGGGGGGGCAGATCTGCCATGTGAGGGAAAACAGAGAACATAAAATATGCCTTTGAACACAAACAGATGCAACAAACGGAGGAAAACACCCTGAAGAACGAGAAATTTGAATTTTTTTGGTTACTAAAACTCACCTTTTCTACTGCAGGAACAAACTGTTTGGGCACATTGGTCCCGACAGTTTCGTCCACAAACTCTACCTTGGTGAAGGCATCCGATGGCAAAGGCTGAACCAAAATTGAAAGGAAGACAAGCAACATTGGCAGGTATGTTGAAATGGTCTGTGTAAGAGATACATACGGCAGGGATACACAGCAGCTCCATCCTGTAGATAGATAGGAGTGCCTTTAAAGAATAACTGGGTACTTTCGCTTTAAGGAATACTCGTCGCGATTGCCACTGACTGTTGTCCGAGTTCCAAGCTGTGTTCAGTGTCTTACTGAGATGAATTGATTGAAAGACTTATGTCGTTGACACGTTCATACAGCATTTGAAGACAAACTTCCTAGCTGTTTATAGGTTGGCAGGTTTTGCTCCGTCATACGTACCTCAATCACACCTATCACTTTGCCGTACTGGCCAGCACCACCCGACTGCTTCTTGTGCAAGTAGTCAAATCTGAAATTGAAACAAGACACTACAGTCACCAAACAAGTATACTGATTCGTCTGTGGCACTTTGCGTCTGCACTTGCCCAAAGTAAGGAACTGCCTTGTAATTGGTCAATCAATTAGCAGTTGCAGGACCACATGCAGACAAAACAAATCACAGCTTCAAATGACTTGGGCATGACGTTTATGGTAACATTGGTTTCACCAAAGGTCAACTCCATGTGTCAACAGATCCTAAGCCAGAACCTTCTAGTAAACAGTCCATTCACTTTCCCAGACCAGGGCCCAATTTCATGGCGCTGCTTACCGCAGAATTCCGCGCTTACGATCTCCATTCTGCGCTAACCGCGCAAGCAGAAAAATTCTGCCCTCGCCCTTTAAGCACAGAATCCTTAGTTACGGAATGTACGCATGTGCACAAGCCAAAATTCCTTGCTAACCTGTGATATACATTCGTAGAAGTTTCTGCTACGCTAAGCGCCGATATTTCGCTTGTGTTAAGCAGCGCCGTGAAATTGGGCCAAAGTCCTTGACTATCCAATTTAGAAATGATGTACTCACTCTACTGGCTGTAAAATGGACTCTCTGAAAGCCACTTTGGGCTTCCCTGTAATCACAGGACAGTTGTACTCTCTTTCCATCCTTTGAGCGTAGATTTCAAGATGTAGTTCTCCCATGCCTGATACGACTGTCTAAAAAAAATTCAAAAAAGAGAAATTTTCATTGGAAATGAAAATTTCACCAGTTGGAATGACTTGAATGAAAATTTGAAACTTCAGTGCTGGAGGGAATTTTCTTGCTGGTCCAATTCCATTTGGGATGAGAGCAGCAGTTAAAAGGTACAGACAGACTGGGCAATGTCGGGTCCAGCATTGAACTTCGGTAGACGTTGTAAAATTGTGTGTGAAAGATCACTTTGAATGTCTTAAGAAAATCCTTGCTATAAAATGGAATTGTGGCAGAACTTCGAAGGCAAGACTGTTACTCATCTCTGCATCCGAACCAGTGAAGTTTGAGGTGTTTAAGTTACAATGAAATAATTGCTAAGGCTAGCAGGTTGTATTTTTGGTAAAATATGAATAAGTACAGGTGCATTTTAGATGAAACTGTGAACGGTCTCGATCCATTTGGGAAAACAAACCTCCTTGCTGTCATTGTCAAAGTGGACTGTAAAAGTTGGATCCTCGCGTGTGAAGCGATTGATCGCTTTGGAAAAGCTGTCGATATCAGTCTGGTAAGAATATCAAAAGAGAAAGATATTAATTTCCGATTTTATAGCAGAGAAGGGAAAAAACCTGTGCATCTAAATGCCAAATAAATGCATTTCAGCATCTCCTGAGCATCATCTCATGGAGAGAATGATACCTTCACAAGAATTCCCAAAATAAGAAAAAAGTCAAGAGAGCGTGGTGAGCCCAAGCATATGTACAATGAAAGCTTCTGTTTATGAAGTAATGACCACGTTCCTTGGGAAAGTCGGTACCTTTTTCTGCGGCCTCATGGCGAGTGAAATGACAGGGTCTGGTACATGAATGGATTCCATGGAAAGTTGGAACTTGGGTCTGGAGACGAAGGTGTCACCGCTTGCACAGTCTATGCCAAAGAGAGCGCTGATGTCTCCTGCGTAGATGTCAGTCACATCCTGGTTGAAGACATACAAATCGATCATCATCTCTGATGTCCTAATGTTTACTTGGTAATGTGTTAAGCTGAGACTACTTTGCTCAGTGATGACTGAATAGTTAACTAGTAAAATCTGTAAGCAAACATGACAATCTGGTATTTATTTCTGGAAAAGAAGTCAATTTTAAAATGCTTTTTCAAGAACTGTGAAACCATTTCTAATGCAGCATGCCAAAGTTCAGATTCAGAAAAATATTTGGATATTTAAAATGAAGGCTTAACCTCGATGCCCTTCAGGTTTTCTCTAGGCACCCTAGGCACCTGACAGAATAAAACAGGCAAGAGTGAAACTTGACAGAATCTAACAGCTAGAACCAAAGGCCTTTTGTTCACTGCTCGCATCAACAAAATGCTACAGAAAGAGCTTACTGTTGAATATCATTGGGTTCAGCATGGTTAGGGTTAATGGATGTTGTTTTTCAAGGAGAGCGATACGGCTGTGGAGAGAATCCCTTTTTACGACATACCTCCATCTTATCAGCATGCATGCGGACCAGCCTGGACACTTTGACCCTTTTATTCGTCCGTGTATTGTAGATATATTGCCCCTTCTGTAAGTGACCTTGGTACACCCTCATGTAGGTGAGCTGACCAAACCGTCCCGCCTGCACAGTTACCAAACACACAAATAAATAAAACCTTATGGGGTTTTTTAACGAAGGGGTTTCACACTGATACTCATGGATATTCATAACATTGTATGCTCAGTGTTGTCAACCTAGTTCATCTCTGGAAATAAATCTAAAATCTGACTGAGACCAGCCAGCTGGCCCGGCAAGCTCGGTGGTCGAGTGGTTAACTCATCTGCACTAGTAAGCAAGAGGTCGTACATTTTTTCCACAAGCTCTCGGACAACACTGAACATGCAGTATTATGAATATACACAGGTGTAAGGATAAAAACAAATTATTAAAAAATTAACATTTACCTGACGCAAAGTGCATCTTTGCTAATATGGATTCTCTTTCCAACATACACGGCAAGAAGTCGTTAACCAGACAGAATTGCTCACTACATTCAAATGCAAAGCAAAATGTGACCTCTGAACTAGTAACAAACAACAGACATCATCTGCTTTGTCCATAAAACAGAACAAAATATCTGCACTAAACACTCTTGGGTTTGGCTGCTCCATACACCTGTCCTCTGGTTATATGTTCTTAGGCTTAAGTTTTGAACAGATTTTTGTCTGGTCCCCAATTTGGGATGCAAACGATCTAATGATAATATTTGGAGCTGGAAGTGAATGACCCACCTCAAGTTTGAAAGCTAAAGCAACAAAGGGATCGGAGTCGTCCCTCACTGGACTCATCTTCAGCTTCTGGTCCTCCCTAAGGGGAAAAAATGCAGAAATTTTCCAAGTTCTGAATTCAGAAGCAAAACTTTGAGGAATGCTCATAAAAAAACTCTTTTAGAAATGCACATGAAAAAGTAAAGAGGCAGACACTCACTCATCAAAAGCGTAATTGTCAACTTCCGAAGGATTTGGCAGATACTCCAACACAGCATCTAGCAGCGGCTGTGAAGGCAGAAACACTAACAGGTAAGAGAAGGCACTCCAGTTTTCAAACAGAAAAGATTTCTGCCGAGTGCACTGACTCAGCCTCGATATGAGATGTCTTCTTTTTTTGGGAAAAGGCATGATATTTTGTTCACCTGCACTCCTTTGTTTTTCAGAGCTGTGCCAAGAAGTACTGGCGTGAAGGATTGTTTGAGGGTTGCCCGACGGATAGCTGCCTGTAGACAGAACAAAAAGCAGGACAACTTCAGAAAATGATGCCCAATCACATAGCTAAAATTGGTTGGTTTCTTGGAGCTGTGTAAGGATGTTTTGGATTTTCAAACATTAGAATTCAATAAGTGTTTCTGATTCATTGCTTAGTTCTTGAAGATTTTCAATAAAAATTAATCAATAAATAAGGGCAGAGAAATGTTAAGAAAATGAGATTACAAAAGAGTAGATCTGATACAGTTTTTAATCTTAAAGACGAGGTAATAGGCAGAAAGACTGAAACCTTTATTTGGTCCTCATTTGGTTCCACTTCTGAAAGAAACATATCACCAAGTTCCTCATCCACATTTGCTACACACTCTAAAAAAGGGGGGAAAATAAAATGGACAAATATAGAAGTATCAATATAATTGACCTACATTTTCTCTTCTCAGCTGTAGATTTGAATGTCTACTCTTGAGAATTGTTAGTGTGAATTGTTCATATTTTTGGCTATCAACCAAACAGAATTTTTTTTTGGGTGGGGGAGGAAATCCAGAAGGATTTCCAAAGGAGGGTGGCATTTACCAGCAGTGAACTGATTAACAGAAGACAAGAGAGGTCAATTGAAAGTTTTTTTTGGAGAAGCTATCGATGTTCATCTTCTTTCATCTCGTCATTTCTGTAATGATTTTTTTCTTTTTGCCCTTAGATTTTTTTTAGGGGGGGGAAGCATCCCCTTGCCCCACCCCCAATATCCATGCAGTCAGACACTATGATAGGAAGTATGTTTTCTTTACCAATCATCTCCTGTCTCTTCTCTTCCGTTTCTGCTTCCAGTTCCTTGGGCACCTCTTTCGTGACCACGCTCTGCCTGCGGAATTTGTCATGGGAGGATAACCAAAAAAGAATGCATCATTACACAACAGCATTCAGGTTGACTGATAACAGGTGACATGAATGGTAATCCCAGCAGGAGTGGCATTACGAAGACTCACCCCTGATCTCCTTCAAAGTAGATGGCCTGTCGGTGGACGAGATCGACGACGCCCTGGCTGTTGGCCTCCAAGCCGATGGGCAGCTGTAAGAAGGCAGCATTGTGGTTGAGCTTGGAGCGCAGCTGGGATAAAACACGCTGTGGATTTGCTTTCAGCCTGTTTGGAGAAACCATGAGGGAATTCCAGCATCTTATCCAAAACAGCAAGAACTTAACCTTAGTAGTCAAGAAATGTGTGCATGAAACAAGTAACCAGTCTTACCTTCTGGCATTTTGGGCAGAGGTGTTTGGATGGGAGTGGTCATTACCATCAGTGAGAGGCATGTAGCACTCACCTATCAAGCTTATTGATGAATGCGATGCGAGGTACATTGTAACGTCTCATCTGCCTGTTCACAGTAAAGGTCTGGCTCTGGACTCCTCCCACGGCACACAGGACCAGTACGGCACCGTCAAGTACGCGCAAGGCTCTCTCCACCTCCACAGTGAAGTCGACGTGTCCTGGAAAGAGCGAGCAAAACTGGTAGACTATCCCTGTGGTTGTGACATTGTGGCTGACATTCCGCACAGCTGATGCATTTTCTATCAATCCATCACTCTCAGACTCATAACTATCTTTTTTGCACTGTGCAAACAGAACACGCGGAGTTAATTGTGACATCACAGCATGTTCTTGCATCCCAGTTCAAGAAAGTTGAGCACATTCAACTGAGGCGAATATCATTACAACTGTTTCTCCACATCCAATTCACTTTGTAGTTGCAACACGAGAACTGTGACCCAGCCACAAAAAATTTCATTTCAAGGGCACGCAGTGACAAGAATATATGAAATACCAGGAACATACGGTGAATGACGCAGTCAAACACAATGCAATCTTCCCTAACCTTTCACTAACTTGCTATTCCTCAAACTGGCAAAGTCCGACTCGAAACCCAGGTTAACGATCACAGAGCAATGTGACGACCACAACCTACAAACAGCTCCTTGCAATCTCAAAGCTCAAATCAAGGTAAGAGATGCATGCACTGGTGCCCCATGACGTCTTGTGCACAAACCCTGTGGACTGGTCTGAGAAATTCTTAATATTTTTCAAGTGAATACCTCAATATTTTTACTGCTAAGATGAACTTTCAGGACATTTTATTGCTGTCAGAAGGCTAATAGCTCACTGCAGGGGAAAATTAGTGGCACCCGTGTAAGGAATTCTCCCCCTAGCAACAATGCATTCATACATGTAAGTTGCTGATTGGCTGTTTACGTCTGGTACCAACCTGGCGTGTCAATGATGTTGATGGTGTGGTCTTTCCACTCAATGTGAGTGGCAGCAGACTGAATGGTGATCCCCCTCTGCCGTTCCAGCTCCATGGAATCCATGGTGGCTCCCACATTGTCCTTTCCTTTCACCTGTAAAACAAGAAGAATTCACCCGAAAATTCCTGTGTAAAACAAAATGGAATTGACATGGATGGATTGAGAACATAGAGAGTTTCAGCATAATCATTCAGTGCTAATAACTTCCGGGGTCAGAGTTTGTTGTCCGTTTTGTGAGTGTGTACATAATGTACGATGGTTCCCTCCTCCCCGAGGCAGCTCCAAGAAAAGGTTGGTGGCTAAACAACCTTCTTCCGAGTTTGTGAAATTGTGCATAGGCTGTGAAGTTGTAAAACCATTCCGTACTGGCACAAGGTTTGTAAGTTAGTGAAACGGCATGAATCCAGCCACTTGTATCCAAGTTCTTTCGAGAACATGTACGGCACTATCAAAAATTCACTAATACCCCGGTGACTCCACATTAATTTGTACAGGAAATTTTGTTTCATTGATTCAAAAGCCATTTCTGGATGGAATAAGCTCTGTATTATGAATTATTCTGGTTTAGATACCCCCTGAATAAATTAACAACGTTACTGTCAAGGAGTTAAGGTGCGGGGCTTGATTCCAAGTACCTCATGCATCTGTTTAATTCTGCCCGTGTAGAACAGGAGTCGCTCTGTGAGCGTTGTCTTCCCAGAGTCAATGTGGGCTGATATTCCAATGTTACGGATCTTCTGCACATCCTATTTTCAAATTTAAAAAAGAAATTCAAAACAGGTTTATCGCGCATAAATGCATATATACAAGTATGTGGTACATCTAACAATATAGTACAGGCATGAATATTCACAATACATGCATGTTCTCTACAACTATAATATTTGGTCAGAATATGTCTGACATACGACTTTTCATTGACCAAGGAATTTTCTTGGGTGAAACTTTACATTCTGCAGTGCTACACATACCAATTATAAACATAAGAAAGATTAAGACTTCTTACGCATAAAAGTATGCATTATCTTACAGTATTTCCTGATGAGGAAGATGCATGCCGGTAACCATGGAAACTGACCACTGCAGGTAAAATCTGAGGATGGAAAAAAGAGCAAAGTTTTAATCAACAGACAGACATTTTTTAATTAACTAGGCCTATGTCGGAATTACACGGAAACTCGATATAAACAATTGAAATGATCACCCTTCTCCTCAGGTCAAATGCAAGTTGAACATTCCGCTTGGTTGTTCCACTTAAAAGGGCTGTAATTCGGAGTGAGCCCATTGCCGAAGAACTTATTTACACCCACGTGCAAAAATCAATGAAATTTTGTTAGGGTTTTCATTCAGTAAAGGCAACGTTTACGCGTTTCTCATTCGATCACGTAACGCATGGTACCGGTGAGTTATGCAATCTTATGTTGAGGGCGCTCTTTGGGAAGAGATGTACGCGGACGTCTGAATGTACGAAGCATGTGTGCGATCGGAGGGTCTTCGTTTTCTCAAGCGGACGGGCATTTTTTATTCCAAAGCTCCAGTCAGCTGTCCCTAGACCTGATGAATTCTTTGGTTAGTGTATTTGTTTATCTCAGGGACATTCTTATGCCAGTATCTTCAATTCCCCCTTGACAACATTCAGAGTAGCCTACTTGACGTAAAATGTACAGCACGTTGATCTAATCGCAGAAAATCGAAATTGAGTTCGAAAACCCATCAAAAACCCACTCGATATGATGACTCAGTAATCAGTGAATTAGGTACAGTACACCCTCTGTATACCTTAAAGTGCTATAAGTAGGCCTTAATTAACGACGGACACGACATTGATGGCAGGCTATTCTGTTAAATGCACTCTTTCCATCAGCCATTCGCCGACTCTTCATGAGCCCTTCATCTTTGAGCCAGTTCGAGTAACAATGTAGCCGTTTCACAATAGTGCGCCACCAAGAGTTTCCAACGCGTTGGCCAATCACAATGCGCCAAAATTGTCGACCTAATTTGGTTTAGAAAGGGTCGACAAATTTCGAGCGTTGTGATTGGCCAACGCGTTGCAAACTCTTGGTGGCGCCCTATTGTGAAACGGCCGTATTGATGGAGTAGCTTATTTGACCCATCCTCAAAGAAATGCATAGGCCTACAGGGGCTTACAGGCTTCAAGTTGTACGTGTGATTTGGATGTTTTGCGCATCTGATATAAATTAATATAAATTTACATCTCCCCAACGCAAACGTACATCTTGAAAATTTAGCGCATCTGTTTGCAGATCTTTGCTCCCAGAGGCGAAGTGAGACTGCCTCCAACACTAAAGCGGCATCGTCCAGTCCTAGGGGTGCACCCTGGTAATTAGGCCCTAAA